TCCCCGCGGCGGGGGGCTGCGGTGACCCCCCCAGCCTGAGCGCAGCCGCGGGAGCGGGGCAGAGGGCTTTTGCTTTGTCTAGAGTCGTCCTTGCTCAAAGTGTAGAGCAGCTCTTAGACCTCAACAAAAAACCAGTTCCACCGTGGCCTTGGCAGGGTTGCCCTGCCATCACTGCTTCCCCATGAGAGATGAGACCCCGGGGTCCCCAGGGGAGGTCACCCTTGCTGCGGGGACACCATTTCCCTGCTCCCCATGGGGATGGGAGGCAGATGCCTGCTCTGGGCAGAGCCCCCCGAGAGACCCAGCCGCTTTCTCCCCTCTGCCTCGACGGGGATTTCTTCTTTGCCCTTTGACAGACACCGTTTGAGGGCAGCTTCCAACACAAGAGGTTCGGACCTCTATTTTCAGGACATCCCCCCCCTCCCCAAAAGGGAGGTGCTGTGTACAGCAGCCCTGTGGAGAATGGGGCTCTGCCACTGCTCTCGCCTCACTCCCAAAATTACGTTGCAGGATAAGGCTTTGGTCTGTGCCCATGTGGGGGGGCTCGGTGGCACACCCCCCTGGCTGTAGGACCCACCTGGGGGGCACCAGGACCTGCTGTTTGCCCCCCTTTTTCCTTGCACCGAGGGCAGAGGAGGGAGGGTGGCTCCCAGCCCTGGGCTCGAGTTGCCAGGTCTGGGGCTGTTCCAGCACAAATCCTTCTCCTCGTGGTGACTCCCATCCCAGGGTGAGGACAGCTCCATCGGCCATACCGTCCCCCACCCCACGGCAGTTTTGCAAAGACAGGGTGGTCAATGCCGTGGGGCTGCCTGGCCGCAGCATCGCACTGAGACCTCGGAGGTGCCTGGGCAGCCCCTGCCAGGGGAGCGAGACCCCTTCACCGGGGCACATGGCCCCACCACCAGCCCAGGCCCTGGCTTCACGTGCTTTTCGTTTTCCAAAACCGCTTTTGGTTCTGTAGGACAGAAAACCAAACAACAGCTCCAGAGGTTTTAACCAAACCGGAGGGCTGCTCATCGTGTTGCTCTTTAACCCTTTCCATCACCCTGGCTGGGAGCTGGAGGTGTTCTGGCTCTGCCTCACCCCACCAGGCAGCGGGAAGGGGAATCTCAGCCTTTACACCTTTGTCCTGAAAGTCATCTGAAAAGCGACTGTGGTTTGGCAGGCCTGGGCAAAAGCACGGATGAAGAAAGCTGGGAAGATGTTTGACCTGCTACTGCAGATGTCCCACTGAGAAGGCGGCTGCTCCATCTCCACACCACGCGCGTTGCATCCACCTGGGTGGCTTCCCATCCTCCTCCGGCAGCACTCACACCTTTGGGAGTCAAAATCGACAAGAGCAGTTTGCACCTCGGAAGCCTGGCACGTGCCAGGGTCGATAACGCAAAGTATCTCCTGGCCAGCTCTGCCGAAGCACGGGGACACTTGATGAGGCGCGGCGGCTCTGAAAAGCTGATTGATGCTTCACGTCCACCACCCTGGCATCAGGCTGAGTAAGTGAGGGGTCGTCCCTGGGCCCACCTGAAATTACTTTGAAATTTGGGTCTTCACTCAGTTTTGGGAATGTTCAGGCTTCTAAATAGAGCTGTAACAGCTGACAGGGATGAGCTGGGCTCCACAAAAAGCTGTTCTCCCCAGGACCCCCTTGCAGGGTCCCGGCCTGACTTCTTGGGGCAGCTGGGCTGTGCTGAGCAGCCCTGCAGCCAAAACCAAGACCACTGCCTGATGTTTTGGGTGCTGCGGTCGCTCAGCAGCTGGAACACAAACGGGTGAGTCTTTCCTGCACGAGGAACAAGAACAAATTGAGCAACTGGAAGAAATTCATGTAGGGAGAGGATGGAGAGGCATTTTGGAGAACAAAGTGCTCCAGACATCAGACATTAACCTTAAATCTTTTCTCAAAAATTAAGGCAAGATGCCACCCAACACAATGTGGACCACTGGAGCTGTAGGAGCATAAAAGGTCTGAGATAAACAGGGGCGCGGCTGGAAAAAGAGCTGCTGTTGATTTAGTTTGGCCACAACTGCCTCGCACTTTTGCTGAATAAGGAAAACCCTGCCCTTATATCCTACCTGAATAAAGCTCTCTTGCAGTCCAAGCTTTTGAAGCCAAGGAGCAACAGGTTTAGATTTTCACTCCGCTCTACCACACACACAACCCCACTCAAATTTAAGCCAGAGAACATATATTTTGGGGATTTACCGTTCTCCCGCCTGGTCTATCCCAAAATGGGATGGAGCCCAAGAGATGCCAGACACCTACGTACACATACATGTTCCCTTCTCTTGACAGTTGAGTAGCATTTACCTGTCCAAAGTACTTTTGGTAACTCAGCACCTCCCAGTTTTCCTTGGCCCCAGATTTGCTCGCCTGCCTTGGCTTTGATTCATGTCCTGCCACACTGCGGAAAACCCAAAATGCTCTCTTTGCTGCACATGAAATGGTTGGACTCCACACCCGAGCCATCTGCGAGCCCCAACCACAGGTTTCTGGGTGGCTGGGACCCGCTGGAACGCTGCATTTCTCCACTTGCCCAGCTGAAACGGGAAGGGCTGGGCAGCTTTCCATCAGCCCCTGAAGGACAGGTCTGCAACCACGGGGCCTCTCACGGCAGATCCTGTGCTGGATGCCACCGTCATTTTTCTTGAAAAAGAGAAAAATGAAAAGAAGTAGACTCAAAAAAACTTCTCTCTGGTTATTCACGGGGGGCTTTGCTCCAATTCTGCCTTATGTAGATTGAAAAAAAAAAAAAAATAAATAAATATCCTTGGCACTATAAAAGCTCATAAACCCCCATGAACCCCCCCCGACAGGAGCAAGCTGAAGCGTCGCTGCAGTGGGTCCAGAACGGGGATGCTCCAGGGAACGGGCACCTAAAAGCTGGAGGGCCCTCGCCCGTCCCCAGCCCGGGCTCCTGCGGTTCCAGTTAAACAACGGAGCCACCGGTGGTCCTTTGTACGCCGGCTCTCTGGGCAGACAGCGCGCTTTTGAGATCCCGATGATTCATGGTCCTTATGTAAGGGAGGCGTGGGAGGTGGGCAGAGGTAATCCTTTTTATTAGATGAACTAATAGAACTGGAAGACAGCGGCGAGGTTTTGGCCAGGCGAACCCTTCCCCTTTGGGGCTGAAAGAGAAGCAGCAAATGTCAGAGCTGAGAAGCAGCAGCTGGGAGGCTCCTCAGGCATCCATAGCCCATCGGGGAGAAAGGGAGCGGGCACGGGGGAAAGAGAGCGATGGCTAATTCATGGGAGGGTTAATGAGAAGCAGAAAGACTATAGTGATACCAAGAAACCAGTTTTTCATCGGTGATTTTCTAATTCTGTGCAATTATGGATTTTACTTCCCAGTAAAAGCACTTTACTCCCTGGTTTCAAACCCGGTCTGATCAGAGAGAAAGTAGCTGCTGTTTGCTGTAAGGAAACTGATTCGAGGTGAAAAAAAGAAGGCAGAAGAACCTACGCTTATGGAAACGGCCCAAGGGTCGCAGGGAAGCAGTCAGACAAGTTTACGTGGCTTTGGGAAACCCAGTAAGTAGGTTGCGATGCTGAATTTGGAAGGCTTTCAGCAAAAACACTGGCTGGAATAAGCCCGCGAAAGGAAGCTGGATGCTCCTGGCAACGACGCAGACCTGTGATTTCGTGCCCAGCTAGGTAAGGAAACGGGCAGCGAGATCAGAGGCGATTCTGACCCAGCTCCTAGGAAACGAGCGGGTATCGCCAAGCCAAGAAGTGAGGCGGCGCCGCCACACAATGGCTGGAAAGTGGAAGGCTGGACTAGATAACGGCATTCACACGGTTATTATCAAGATCAGCAATTACCAGACCTGGCTTTTCAAGGCTAAGTTACCGGTTCAAAGGCTGGCCACCACAATGATGCTTGCTCTGAAGTGGGGCTAACAGAAAAAAAATCTCTGATACTAATTAGCCGCTGCCCAAACTCGTGCTGGCATCGTTCCTGATTTCGACCAGCATAAACAGCATCACAATAGGTTAAGATGGAGAGCGCCAAATCTAGGGATCATTGTTTTTGAGACCAATCAAGAAGAAACGCGATAATGGTTCAGGAAAGGGCGGTTTTCATAAGGACAATGATGGGGAAAACCAAGGAGCCAGCACTTTGCCAAAAAGTTATACCCAGCACCAACTTTAGGAAATTGGCTCCAAGCCCTCCCATCACATCCCACAGCAAGCACGGCTTGCTCCCCTACCCCACATTCACCGAGGGTCACAGGACAGAAGGATCTGTGCTAAAGATGATCCTCGGGCCTTAAACTGGACCCAAACGTGGAGAACTTGAGTTCAAGTGCTATCGGCTGCTCAAAATCCTCCTGTTTCCAAAAGGAGCTGTACCGAAGGACTCGCCCTCCCTTCTGTTTGGAGCACGCAGCTCCTGCGGGCTAGGGGTAAGCCTGGCTGTCCTCACTGCTTTGCTTTTCTGCCTGTCATCCACGTCCCAAATCCAACCAGCCAAAGGAAAACTGTAGTCAAGTGTCTAAATCTAACACCAAAACTCTGGAGAGATTCCTAATTGT